TATTATATCTTTGCATTACTTCTTGTTTAATTAAGTAGGTGTACGAACATGTTTGTAGTCAATATTCATGATAAACATTCCAATATATTATATTTTGAACGTAATGGTAAGATGTGAAGAGACTCAAAGAAATACTAAACTAACTACATGTAACATAGAAAAGTATTAATTACAACTAGGAGAGAACCCGTGCATATGCGCAGATCTTGTTTTAATTTATATTTTAAATAATACATTTTTAGAATTTGTATTGAATTTTATTTTTACCAGCAATGTTTTTTTCGTTTAAAATATTTATATTTTCCGATTTCTTCTAGATGATAAATTATTTGTAATCTCTTCCACACCGGTTGTACCAAATAATCCAATTTTTCTCCTACGGTAATGAGGAACTAAAGATCTACTATTTTAATTTATATATAAAAACGTAATAGCTCATAGAAAAATTTACCATTTTGAGTTTTTTTGGTTATATATATTTTATTGATTAAATCTTTTTAAAAATTACTAAAAAACTTTGTATGACATTTTTATGTATCCATTTTTTTTACTATTATTTTTTAATAATTTTTATCTCTTTAATCATTTATTGAATATTTTTGTGTGTTATAATTTTATTAGTTAGAGTTTTATATAAGATTATTTAAAACTTCTTAACTTATTCAGTCTGATAATTTTTTTCACTTTCATAAAAATTTAATTATACTTTTAGTTTGAAAATGTAGTTTAAATCACTTGGAAAGAAGAAATGGAATGATGTATTTCGAAAAATCTTATATTATATAATATTATAAGTTTTGATATATTTAAAATAAATTTGAATTTATTTATTTAAATACATTTGTTATACATATTAATATTTATTAATGTTTTTTAATGTTTTTTTTTTAAATATGATTAATTGTGTATTTCATTAAGATTTTAAATGGATAGGTGGCATTTTCTCCAGTGCTGATGTGACAAACAGCTGGAAAAAGTTGGCCAAGTTTTATATATAATATATATTGGCAATATAATCACTTATGAGGATGCAGATTGACCACAAAACTTCAACACAGTTTTTATCATTTAGTAAAGTATATGCACATTTGGAGAGATTTAAAAACATGTTACATAATTACCAAAGTTAGTCCCATTCTCTCCTATAAATATACCCACATTCTCATTAGCATTTATCATCAATAAAAAGTAAGTAAGAAAGTATCATTAAAAAGAGATAAACAAAAAAAAAACATGAAACTCTTAGAAATAATGATATGTACAACTGTTTTGTTAATAACATTGGCGATATGGTTCGTGCCCATCAGTTAAGGTCATGGAGCCGAGCCCCAATTGATTGGTGATGTAGCCAACTCACCTGGAACCGATGGACTCGACCCTACTTAGTATGACGCACGAGCCATGTTGCAGGCACGTCTTCAATTACCAATATTTTTTCGAATTTAATTATTGAGATAATGTAATTCATTTGGAGCTTGTTTGAAATTTCTAAAGTTCTTAAACCGTAAAATTCATTTGGAGGTGCAAAACATTATACTATAATTATCATATACTTCTGTTCATTTTTTTTTTTATCGTATACTCACTTTTCATAGTAAATTCAATAGAGGGAGCTTGTGGATACGGTGACCTAAACAAACAAGGCTATGGTCTAGCCACGACGGCGTTGAGCACGGGACTTTTCAATGACGGGTACACGTGTGGGGCTTGTTTCGAGATCATGTGCACGAATGACCCAAAATGGTGTTTGCCTGGATCGATCAAGATCACAGCAACAAATAAATGTCCAGCAAACTACACCAAGACTACAGACATTTGGTGCAACCCACCACAGAAACACTTTGGCCTCTCCCTACCAATATTCCTCAAGATCGCACAGTACAAAGCCGGGGTTGTCCCGGTTAGATACAGAAATATTCCTTGCGCAAAAACCGGTGGTGTCAAGTTTGAAACCTCAGGAAACCCTAATTTCTTAACAATCTTGTCGTACAATGTATGAGTTGTCGGTGATATTAAGGCCATGCATACAGATTAAAGGAAGGAGAACCGGGTGGCTTACGATGAGGAAGATTTGGGGACAGAACTGGGTCACTGATGTTGTGTTAACCGGGCTTATCTTTCAGGGTTGCGACGAGTGATGGAATTAGTAAGGATTTTATTAATGTGATACCACCTAATTGGGGATTTAATCAGACTTTTGATGGGAAGATTAACTTTTAGGAGGCATGATTTGAGTTTTACTAGCTAAGTGACTTAGCTTAAGTCTTACTGCTAAAAACATAAAAGAATTAACAGATGTATTTGAGTTCAAAAACTATAATAATAATAAATAAATAAAACATTTCAGAATATATTAAGTTCTCTTTAATTTTCCATGATTTAATTCATGCATTAGGTTTCAACTTCAAAGTAAAGGATTTAACCAGAGCTTTGAGTTATGGACCAAGATTACCCATTAAACGTAGCAAATGTTAATTCAATTTTTTGGGTCCTTGACATTTCCGGTTTTGGTTCGGTTGAAATTATTCAGTATTAATTTATCCTATGCAATCTTCAACAAAAAAAATTAACAAAAAATAATCAAACCAAAGTAAGTAATTTATTTTGATAGAGGACGGTGTATTTAGAGAAGAACAGAATTGAGTCAAACTATGTTTAAACAAAAAATATGACAAATGCTATAAAAGTATGACTACTAGACCAAAGTAATAAGAGCTTCTTGGGAAATAGGGTACTTTTAAGTTTTTAATTAGTTGAATGGGTGTGTTTTTGATATCAGGTGCAATCTTCAACATTTTTGAACAGTGGCTTTTTCATAATGACATTTCTACCCTTATTAGAGGAAAGGATGAGAGAGAAACCTCTGAGTGAAAATTTTGTTTTCTAACACGTACAACTCACTCTCAGTTATAAAACGCAGTCGTTTTTTGTACAAATGACGTTGTTGGGCTTTTGGGCTTGGGCATGTGTAGTTTTATAATAAAGGTAGTTTTATTTTCTCTTTCTTCTTTTTTGAGATTATTTTTTCCTTTAAATCAATTGTTATAAATTATTCATAATAATAAAACATTTAATAATTTATATATATATTAAAAATATAAAAAAAAATTTTTGTAATATATACAAATTTAAAAATATTCACCATTTGATATACAACTATCAAGTATTCATTTGAAAATATTCACGTGAAAATATTCATCCTTAGATATTCACGATTTGGTGTTCATTCATTTAGTGTACACGTAAATGTATTCACAATTTAGTGTACACTAATGTATACATAATGGTGTACACCAGTGTACACAGAAAGGTATTCACTGGTATTCACGACTTAGTATTCATTCATTTGGTGTACAACATTTGGTATTCACTCATATTCATAGGTATTCATTCATCTGGTGTACACATAAAGGTATTCACTATTTGGTATACACCCGAAAATATTCACTCAAAGGTATTCATCATTCATTTGGTTTACAACTATTACATATTCACAATTCAATATACATCTATTAAGTATTCATTCAATTGAATACCATAACTGAATACCTTCAATTGAATATCATGCCTAATGTATACAACTGAAGTATACGACTTTGAATGTTTGCAGTTTTTAAAATAGATTTTGGTTTTTGTTTTTCAAAAAATTATTTTTTATCCAATTATAATTTTGACAAAGTTGATTCCTTAGTTTTTAGGAAAACTAGTTTTTAAAATAACTTCCAATTTTCAAACAAAAACTAAAATCTACTATTTAGAAGTTTTATGTCGAGATTTTTTTGTTTAACAGTATATATATATATATATATATATATATATGATAAGTCTTAGCTCAATATATTTTGTACATAAAATCACCAGTTTCATATTATACACACAAAAAATCTAATAAATTAATTTTATTTTTTGAAAAATAATAGAAATTTATTAATAAATTAATATACTCAATTTAATAACTTTTAACACATGAATCAAATCTCATATGCATTTATGAGACAATGTGTTTGTTTTTTCTAACTTCATAACATAATCTATGTGCATTTTCATTTAAGTTCCTATTTATAAAATTTTGTGAGTTTGATATATTTATTTTATTAAGTTTTAAGTATATGATAAAATAAAATTAAAAGGTATAAAACATGCTTTTAATTATTTATTGTACACAAGAAAATATAGGAAATATATTTTCTGATTGAAAAAATATATATCTTTATTTTAGCAATTTTAAACACTTTAAACAAAACAAAAAGAGTTTAAATAAGAAAAGATATAAATCAAGATCATATATATATATATATATATGTATTATAAAGACAAAAACCAAAATGTAAACAATCCACCATTCAAGTTTTTTTAAACCAAAATCTACAGAAAAATCAAAAACTAAAATCTGAAAACCAAATACCTGAAGCCAAAAACCAAAAACTAAAAACTAAAAATCACTCAAACATTCATGACCTACATGTCTAATGTATACATAACTAAAATATATAACAAATTTTAAATATTATCTGTTTTAACAAAATTCAAATTTCAAAATGTGTAAAAAAAAATCAAAATATTTTTAAAATATATATTATTGTATTTTTTGTTATTTAAAATAATATATAAGAGTGAATAAATTAGAAGAAGAAGAAATCAAAAAGTGAAAAGAAAAAATAATATTTTTTAATAAAAATCTGTTTTTTTTTTTGCTCTCTCGGTACCTCTCTCTTCTCTTTACTTCTTTTGTTTTCTCTCTCTTCCTTTATTTTTGTTTTCTGTCATATTTATTCGAATTATTTGTTTTTTTAAATCAAAATGCATTGAAATGTAATAATAGATAATAGTAAAGGATGATATAGTTATTGACCACAAAAACTACCCAAAGACATTACCTTTTTAAAAACACACCCTTTCACCAAATTAAGAACTTAAAATTAAAACTATCCTTCCAGCCAATTTTCTCAAGTAATAATCAAACCAAAAGTAAGAAATTTACTTTTATAGAGGACGGTGTATTTAGAGAAGAAAAAAAAAATCACACTATGTTTAACCAAAAATTATGACAAATGCTGTAAAAGTATGACTACAAAACCAAAGTATGTTCTGTTTACAGAGTTACAAACCTGAGAGAGCTTTAATGGTATCAAAGAGTCTTTAAGCTTGTTTTCACTTCCAATCAAGCATATCAAGAAGCCACAAAACCTCTTCCTTAGTGTCAGCAACATCACAGAAATCCAATTGAATCCCGAAAACGTCTAGGAGCCCATCATTTATATCCTCAACTTCCATGAAAAGCAAAGAGACCCATGCTCGTATACCAGAGACAAAAGGGTAATAAGGAGACAAGTCAAGATACTCAAAAGCAAGGGCCCGGTACGATGAACGGTCGATATAGTCAAAGACAGACCGGTTTATTATCCGAGCAACCTTATTGGAATCATTCCTCCCCACAAGCATAGACACACTAACCGTCTGGTTTATAGGAATAGTGAATCTTGGCTCTGCGGGAACAATCATCTTGTAGTCAGGTTTCCCGAGATGATTCCTAAGAACTTGACTGATCCCTGACGGTAACGGTTTAATCCCGGTTTCCAGAGTAACACCAGGTATCAAACCGGAGAATACCAGTTTATCTTCTGACCAAATGTCGATGAAGAACTCCAAGTTTTCGAAGGATAGTCTTGGAGGAGGGAGAGAGCGGTTTAACCGCCGCTTGCTAAACGTTTGAAACATCTTGTAGTATGTTTCCATAGGAGGCTTGTGGCGTTTGCAAACCGAAGGCCATTTCTTGGCGCATTGACATTTCCAATAGAAATCATCACTTGCGATATCTCTCCATTGTTTGCATACACCCATGCAAGCTGCGAGATCTTCGCCTTCGAGCAATGGAAAAACATTCTTCAAGACTTCTTCAGAGAACATCTTCACGTTTGATCAACAACTACACACACACATACACAGTGACACAATTGGTTTAGTGGATCAACATTAGAGACAAAAAATCAGACTATTTCCTGAAAAAAAGGTGAAACTTTCAAGTTCTGAAAAGAGATTTGAGTTATGAATTTGACTTTCTGTAGTAAAAAAATGCATTCTTTCTAAATCATTTTCACCAACAAACTTTCAATTTCTGAGAAAGGGAAACTTCATGAAATATTTCAGAACAGAGCCTCACTTATTTGAGTTATGAATTTGACTCTCTGTAAGAAAAGCTTCATTCTTTAGAATCATTTTCATCAACAAAAACATTTAATTTCTGAAAAAGTGAAACTTCAGAAGATATATCAGAACAGTGTCTCACTGATTTGGGTTATTAATTTGACTATCTGTAAGAAAAAGTTTCATTCTTTATCCACAAAAACTTTCAATTTATGATCAGCCAAGCTAATTAGAACAAAGCCACACTGATTTGAGTTATTACTTTGACTTTCAGTAAGAAAAAAAAAATCATTCTTTTAGATCATCATTTTCATCAACAAAAAACTTTCAATTTCTGAGATAAAAAGTGAAACATCATGAAATATATCAGAACAGAGCCTCGCTGATTTGAGTTATGAATTTGACTTTCAGTAAGAAAAAAAAGTTCATTCTTTTAGATCCTTTTCATCAACAAAATTTTTTTAATTTCTGAAATAAAAAGTAAAACTTCATGAGATATATCAGAATTCAGAACAGAGCCTCACTGATTTGAGTTATTAATTTGACTTCCTGTAAGAGAAAATTCAATGTTTAACAACAAAGGCTTTCAATTTATGATCAGACAAGCTAATGGAACCAGTAACTATGATCTAACTATTTACCAAAAAACTATGATCTAACTATCTGATCATTTCCTAATTGTAATCGAATTGACGAGTTTTTTATATTTATCTCCGTAATTCATGATCCGTATGTAATTCGCTGAGATGAGCGAAGAGCGAACCGAGATACAAAACAACAATTTCAACACACTAGAGAAGTAGAAATCGATCGAATCCAATTGAATTTACTACGAGTAACATACTTTTAAAATGAGGATTCATCCGAAGAAGTTAATTCTCGATTGAAAATATCGAAACAGGACACGATCATCGGTCAAAAGAACGAAAACAAAAAACCAGAATCCCAAAGCTTCCATATCAATGATAACCAAATGAACTAACCTTTTATATGATTTGGGTGCCGAATATGGGATGGAATAGATACGATTCCACGAGAAAACGGAAGAAATTTCACAAATTGAACATTTTCTGGGAAATTAGGGGAAAGAGAAAGCAAGAAGAAGCATCTTCGTATTCGGTAGGCTGGAAAGAGAAGAAGAAAACTGAGAAATTAATAAATTAATTAATAAGAAACTTAAAGTAATTAAACGGGCTTTAGCCCAATAGATAAAGTAGCCCAAGTTCAATAACATAGGTTTTTTATATATTAACATAGCATCTCTTCACAATAATTGGAAGGGGTTATTGGGAGTTAGATTTATGAAGATTTTAGTTGATTTTAAAAATCATGAGATTTGTCAAATTTTTAAGAGTTTTGTTGGATTTGTAAAATTTAGAGAGAGTTCTATGGATTTAAACAATCTATTAAAAAAATTTTAATATGATAGATTTTGAGAATCCAAGAGATATAGGTAGTATTTTGAGAATCATGATTTATGAATTAAATTATAAAGAATCATTATGCCAATAACACTAGATTATAACAGAATCATAGAATCATTAAAATGCAGACTTTTGAATAACAATGGATTTTGATTAGATTATAAAAATCATCATATCAATAACAACTGATTTTTATAATCTCTAAATGAATAACAGAGGAATCTATTAAGAATGTAAAAATCCACAAACCAATAACTATAGAATCTTAAACTTTAAAAATCTTTATAAATCAACTCTCCAATAACACCTCCGGAGAGTAGTAAATGCGATCTTCTCTCTTCCCTTCGAGTAAGCGATCAATAACGTCTAACATTGATTTTATCACTATGCCCCTGTTTTTCCATATGTATGTACCTTTATATAAGCTCTTGTCTCATCTTTCATCCGATTACATTAGATGTTCATGGTGGTTTGTTCATGCAACACTGGTGGCCATGGTTAAGATTGATCGTCTGTGAAGAAGTGATGTGTCAGTGGTTTACCTTCATTTTCTTCAAGCATGATCAGTTTTAGGTAACCGTTTTCTCTCTCATATGTAGAGTTTATGTCCAATAACGTTGATTAATTCGGTTTTTGTGTTAGATTGTTGTCCACACCAACAATCTATCTTTTTCAACAAATCAAATATATATATATATATATCATAAATAGTTTATGTGACACCCCAATCTTGGATTCCAATAGAACGAGACTAAACCAGCGGTATTATCTAAACCTAACTAATAATTTTAGGATAACTCTTAAATCTTATTTTAAATCCAAACCAAATCCAAATCTTACAATAGAAATGAAATAACTTAAATAAATCCAAAAATGATTTGAAAACATTGTCTTAAAAAAATACGAAATAGTTTTTAAAACAATAAAATCTTTCTACATCTCTGAAGACACACCACACTAGAACTACTCATCTAGTTCCTCCCAATCATCATCACATTCATATTCATCAGACTCACCTGCAATATGGATTTAAAAGAGAGGAGTGAGTAATTTCCCAAATTACTCAGTGAGAACCAAACCAGGCACTCTTCCCACTCGATCATTTCCAACCAATATGACAAGTATAAACCCAACAAGCAACAAACAAGCACTCTAGAAGTGCACAAACAACTATCAAAGAGGCGTCTCCAATCTTGCCAGGTCACACAGACAGGCTATGTCAGGTCACACAAACAGGCTCTACATCGCCAGGTCACAAAGACAAGCACCAGGTCACACAGACAGGCTCAACATTGCCAGGTCACATAGACAGGCTATGCCAGGTCACAAAGACAGGCATGGTGGTTCGTCTTACCACCAAACGATGAATAAATGCCACGGTCACACAGTCGGCAATAATCCAGCAATCAATCCGTACATCGGCACACCTGATCCAGCTATTTTTACCAAGCACTAACCACAAAGCAGGATGAACAATCAGGTATGCTGGTGCTTCCTCTAATGAGAGTCCTAATTCATATTAATTATATATATACATGGATCTATCTAGATGCGCAGGAAAACAACCTAGACTTATCAGATCTAGACTTCCCACACCAGAAGAAGACAAAAGAGTAAGAAGAAGAACCTAGATCTAATCTTCACCTTTGCCAAATGGAGATCTGAGTTATGGAGAACTAGAAGCAAGAGAATCAAGGACCTTTTGGAAAGGAAGAGGCTGACAGCGGCTTCTTTTCCTCTTGGCCGGCAACGATGACAGTGGCAAGGATGGGCGGCGACGGTGGCTGGAGCTTGGCGATGGTTGGCTCTCTCCTTCTCTCTTTTTCTTTGGGTGGCTAGGGTTTTTAGAAGACAAATGAGGCTCCTTCTCATTTAATTCACTATTTATATATGGAAATAAATTGGGGTTGCTGGAACGGGCCTGGCCTTGATGGGCTTTCTCTAATTGGGCCAAATTTGGGATGTTACAACTCTCCCCGACTCCAAAGAATTTGTCCCCGAATTCTCCCCAACTCCTCCGGTTTTGCCCTTGTCCTCTCTTGTCCTGAAAGAGCTCCGGGTAATCCTTCCACATTCTTGTTTCGACTCCCAAGTTTCCTCGCGGATACCATCCCTTTCCCAACAGACCTTAACTGACGGCTTCCTCCTACCATTGACCTCCATTTCCCGAAATTCCAACACTACCACAGGCTGATAGGCTGCTGAAAAATTCTTCCTCACATCTACTGGCAGCTGAGGCAAAATGAGCTCTGACATTCTCAGAACCTTTCTCAAAAGCGAGATATGAAACACATCATGGAACTTAGCTAACTTCTTGGGCAATTCTAAGCGGCAAGCCACTTCTCCAATCCTTTCAAAGATAGGGTACGGTCCCATATACCTTGGCTTGAGCTTCTTCATATTCTGATGGTTGTCATTTCCTCTAAAGATTCTCAACTTCAAATATACCATATCACCAACCTCAAAGGACAATTCCTTTCTCTGCTATCCGAATCTGATGATAGCCTGATGCTAAATCGATCTTGGGGAACCATGAAGCTCCCTCTAACTGGTCTAAGAACTCATTAATCCTTGGCAGGGGATATTTATTCTTGATGGTCACCTTGTTCAAGCCTCTATAATCGATGCAAAGTCGAAAGCTTCCATCTTTCTTCTTCACAAACAACACTGGTGCTCCCCACGGTGAGCTACTTGGCCGAATAAATCCCTTATCCGTCAATTCCTCCAATTGCTTCTTCAGCTCAGCCATCTCTGCTGGTGCTAACCAATATGGAACTTTCGAAACAGGGTTCGTCCCTGGTTCTACTTCAATAGGGAAGTCAACTCCTCTCTTAGGCGGTGGTCCCGTCAATGGCTCAAATACGTCAGTGTATTCCTTTACCACAGGTATCTCCTCAAGACTCTTAGCTGCTCCCTCTTCTACCATAGAGACTGTCTCCAAGAAAGCTTCACATCCTTCCTCCATAAGATTTTCTGCGTTAATCATCAAAATGATTGGCACTCCCGTGTCGGTCTTCACTCCTTGAGAGACTTTCCGACCTTCTCGATGCGGAACATAGGCCCTCGACTTCCGGAAATTCAGAACAACTTCATAATGCTTCATCCAATCCATTCCAAGGATAACATTATAGTGGTCCAACTTCATTTCCACTAGAGTCCAAGGAAACTATGCTTCTTCCATCAAGATAGGCACATCCTCATGGATACTAATGGTCTCTACCTGCTCATTTCCAGCAGTTTTCACTGCTTTAGATCTGGGGGTGAACTTCCCAGAGAAAGTCCAACACTTGGTCAACTCCGGGCTCACGAAGCTATGAGTGACACCGGTGTCGAACAAGATATATGCAATCGCGCCCTCTACCGAGACCGATCCTAGATGATGTGTACTTATTCTTAGTTATGCATTTCCTTCTACATTCCTATTCACAAGCAACATATAAAATCACTCAATATTACTTACCAGCAATTGGCGCTCCTCCCTCAGGATCTCCAATGGCAAAAACACGAGGTCCAACAGCCTGCCTCTTAGCTGGTGGCGCTGGGGGCAATCCAGGTGCTGCTTTCACCTCCTGCTGGTTACTCAAATTCGCCTTGCAATCCTTTAGGGTGTGTCCAAAATTTCTACAGCACTGACACTTGCCATCCTTTGCAATTGCTGGGCACTCCCTCTCTAGGTGGCCCAAACTACCACAGCCATTGCACTTAGCCACACCACACCTTCCCATGTGCATCTTCCCACAGCGCTGACACTTTTGAGCTCTCACCATTGTTCCCGAAGCTGCCATGTCATCCCATGTCCTTTTGGTGATTCCGGAATACGAGATGGTCGAGCTTGAGCTTGCCTAGCTCTCCTCAGCTCCTCTAAATTGGTTTCCTGAATGGCAGCTGTCTCCACCATCTCCACCAAGGTTGGATACCTCCTGACAGAACATCTGCTCTTCAACTCCAACCTCAAACCCTTCATGAATTGACGGATCAAGTCAGCCTGTGTGAAGTGCTTCCTGGAGAATCTCCTCAACTTATTGAACTCTTCCTTGTACTCTCTCACATAGAGGTTCTCCTGACGCAGATCTTCAAAGGCACTCTCCATCTGATCCAAGGTTTCGGGCGGAAAGTACTCTCCAGCAAATTCTTCCTTGAAATCATTGTAGGTCAACTCATAGCGACCCTGAGTTACTTCCACTACACCTTCCCACCATATCAGCGCCTCTTCCTTCAGGTACTGCACGGCTAAGTCCTTCTAATTGCCTTCTGGACATCTCATGGCATCGAAATTTCTCTCCAATCTCTTCCTTCAGTTGTCAGCAGACACTGGATCAGATCTTCCTCCAAAAGCTTCCATCCCCATATCCTTCAGGTGTCTCATGGCCTCGTAATATATCAGTCCAAACACATTAGCAGGCGCAGGAGGCGGCGGAGGCACCTGCTGCTGCTGAACAAACGCCGGCGGCGGCACATTTTGAGGCTGAACAAACACTGGTGGTGGCACATACTGCTGCTGGTGCTGCTGCTGCTGCTGCACATTCACACCTACCCCAGGGTTCAAGTGACCATACATCTCCTGATAGCGGCGCAACTCCTCCAAGACTGCATCATGGGTTGCGGCAGGCATTTGAACAGGCACATTTCCAGCAAGATTTCCACCTTGCTGGTCCACTAGGGCTGGCGGTGGGTTACGCTGCTGGTCCAATGGAACTCGGTTCAA